CCCCAAAACCCCAAAACCCCAAAACCCCATTTTTAATAGAGTAATTTAAAATGGAAGTTTGAAAAGAGACATTTAGGTATTTTGAAGCTGTAATAAACCAATAGGGTCAAAAGCAGAGGAAGGAGGCTGAATCACACTCCAGAAAGGCATTTTGAGCTGATAGAAAGTAATTTTAGACCATATTAATGCATACAGGATCGAGAGGTAAAGGAAAAGGGTACTTTAATCGAAGTCAAGAAGAAGTAATTTTCAGCCTCAAAGATTAGATCATCAACAATTCTCTGTTGAGAGACAATAAGAAGCTGGATACAAATTCCAAGCTTAATTTAAATGTCACTAATTTTGTGTATCTCTTGGTTAATCAGTAGTAAACCAGGAAGCTACAGAAAATCAATCCGAAAGCTGAAGGAAGATTCATTTTTGTCACTTAAGCAAAGGCTTGAAATCTTAAAATAATCTGCGCGGGTATATATTGGTCTTATTTTAGCCCTGTAATATCTTCAAGTCAAGAGCAGAAGCCTTTAAAATCCTCAAAATTACCAAAGACTCAGCCAAGAATGTCATATTTTGTACATAGAAGGAAGTCAAGAGTATCTTATTTACCTCCGTTCACTACTAAAATATCGGAGGATGTCTTGCAGAAAGGTGAGTTTGCAGGGTAAATTTGGATAATATCTACCATATCTATTATATCTTCTTGTTCTGTACTAGCTAAACATTTTAGATGGCTCTGAAAGAAGGAGCAAAGATATAAAGTACGATTTCAAGAAAGTTTATGGTCAATTTGCTAAAAAAATCAGGTAAAGCAAAGAAAAACTCAGACAAGCTAGACTGGAATAATTGTGAAGCTACTTTGAGGCTGAATGCGCCTAAATGTAACCAGCCACTTGAAATTAGTCAGAAGAAAGAGATGGATGTAATCAGTGATAGGTCTCGAACTCCTCAGATACCTAGTGCATTCCAGAGGCTTCAAACTCAAGTAAGCACGACTCGTGCTGGCCTGAACAACCTTGATATTGAGATAAATCAATCTGTAATTCTCCAATTATATGTCTAGAAACGTCTGCTTCGGAAGATGACTAAGAGGTATGGACCTTCAAAGAGCCAATTTCGCAGCCAAAGAGTATTGCTTCCTAAGAAGAGAACTACTGGAAGCCAAATCTTCAAAAATTTATTAACTAAATTTGCTTACAAAGTTGGTAAGTCACTCTTGAGAGTGCCTTCATTTAGCAATAAAATTCAAAATTGAGAGATTCTAACCGTCTCAAAGTCCAAATCAGGCAGAAATCTTTGCTCATCAGTATGCTTCATTACTATTTTTAGACAACAAGATTCATCATCTGAATAAGAGAATTTCGGAGGCAAATGGTCACAAAGCCCTAACAATCAGGGAATGAGCCAGGAAACAAGCCACATTCTGTCAAAACAATGACTTACGACAAGAGATCACAGGCTGCTTAGGAGTCGTTCAAGGTTTGTTGCTTTACTTAGTTTAGAATATCTTAAGAACCTCAGAATCGCTCAAGAGAAATCTGAGGCATTTTGGAACCTGTGAAAGCAATGTACTTTATTACTAACATACAGCTCTTGATAACTATATGAAGCTTGATCAAAAGCAGAGAGGTTGTTCAAGAATAGCTCCTTGTCGATCTTCACGAACTAACAAATACAAGAGCCTTCAGGTCACATGTAAGGAGATTCAGCTGTCGAATTATCCTAACCAAGAAGCTACATTCATCAAGCAGATCAATGGAGTGCTGTGAGCAGTGCATGGAATGGTCAAGAATTCCAAGATTTATTATATAAGTAAAAACCTCCCTTTTTGAGCCATCTATGGACAAATCTCTGTCTTAAATACCTAACCACTCTCTATAGTCTCCCCAGTAGGCTTTGGCGAAAAGAAACAGTTCCTTGAGGTACAAAGAACTGGCGATATTAACCATATTGACCTTGAACAGGAGATTGACAAGCACTTTGTGTGGTTCGGAGGAGACGACACCACGCCAATGAGCAAGTGTGACGGAAGGAGGTACATCAGTGTGTCCTCATTTTAAGCATCAGGACAGACCTCTTTTCCTAAATACCTTTGATTTCAGAGTTCTGAAGGATCTCTTAACCCAAGTAGCGTCAATTCTTCTCAGAAATCTTTCTATATCCAAACAAGAATTTGGGGTTTTGGGGTTTTGGGGTTTTGGGG